AATCCCCCCAACATGCAAGTGAATGTTTAATGTTCTAGATGATTCCAGTGATAAGCCAGCTTTGGGAGCCACTGTTCTATGCACATCAAATTTACCTACTAAACTGAAGAAATTTGGCAGGAGAACAAAGGTTTCTGTTTTGTTTTGTTTGTTTCAAAATTTCCAGTCTGCTGAGGACCAATTCTTGTAAAAACACAATATAAATTATCAGATAAATTACACATATATGATAAAAGCCCCAAGTTTTATTTATTAGATTCAACAGATATAAAATTACTTTGTCAAACTGCTATGTTTCTAAATGATAAATTTCTGTCATTATCTCATTGTAGACTGGTGCAAGAGTTCCTGGGCCATATCAGGTCAGCAGAGCATTCAGGGAGTAGCGCATCTCTATAGCCTACTGTCTTCAGCTTCCTAAGTGCAATGCCTGCTCCCAGTCTTGCTCCCATCCATGTTCCATACGCTCCACAGCAGCTTGTGTGATCTTTCCAGGGAGTGAATAAAATCCTATCACCACCTTTCTTAAAACCCTCCCACACCATCTTATTAAATTACTCTGGCCTATAAAGGAGCTGGCTCCTGGCTGCCTCCAACTACTCGCCTCTCATCAACTACATACCAGTTGCACTGGTCTCCTTTCCACCCATTCCTGAGACACGTTGAGGCCGTTCTTGTCTCAGAGACTGCTCTGGCTGGTCCCTCTCCCTGGAAGGCTCCTCCCTCTGCTCAGAGCAGTGACTCCTTGCTCAGGTCTCATTGGAAAGGTAACTCTATTTCAAATAACAACTTCTTTACATACACACACACAAACCCCCCCGCACACACATACCCCTCAAACTACCTCTCTAGCCCAAAACTCTCTTTTGTCTTCATAGCTCTCATCACTAGTGACATATTTTTATTTATTCATTTATATACATATATACATATCGTTTATATATATACACATATATACAACCCTTCTGAGAAAGGTTTTTCCTGGCCACAGGAAAGAGCAAGATATATATGTGCTCATATGCACATATATGTGTATATATATCTGAATGTATACCTCCACTGGAATATAAATTTGATGAAAACAGGAATGTTGTCTTGTTCACAACTATAGTCCCCATCCTTCAAAAGGCACGGGTAGACAGCAAGTGGCCAAAATGCATTTGCTGAATGAATGAAGATGCCAACTTCAGCACTTAGCATGCAAACAGTGCTCAAGGAATGCTGGCTTCCATTTTACCTCCCTTCTACTTTCTTCATCATGGCTGAGAAATTGCAAAATGTTATTGAAACTAAAGCTCTGATTCCTTTCAGTCCTCTCCCAACAACACCAGTCAGTACTCCACATGTATGAACTGGTCTAGAGGTTAGCCATCCATTTGTAGTCTGAGACAGACAGGAAATGAGTAAGAAGCCTGAGTGGAAAGCTTGAGTATCTATCTAGTCCCCTCTAAATGTGATATTAATTTGAAGACTTGTTATTCTAAATGATTTTGGATTTTTGGATTATCAGATACCTCCATAATCAAAAGAAATCCTTTCCAGAAAAAAACGCAAATGGTTCTTAGAGGATCTCCTGCTCGGATTAGCTGCCTTGCATTCTATTGCCATGCATGTTTCAAAGTTGGCTGCAAATGCAAACTTAAAGATAAGTACAAAACAAAATTAACAGCTCACTTTTCCCCTGGCTACGCACCCTGCCTTATACAGGTAGCAAAACCCACTGGTACAGTATTCCTCACAGCTGCTCCACATGGATAATTTTTGCCTGGACCTATGGATATCTGTCTGAGTGGGTAATTTCACATGTGAACTTATACGTGCAAACAAAAATTGTATTTTTCAAATTAAAAATAAACCTCATAGGTAATGGACTCCAAACTGTTAATAAAATAGAGAAAGAACCTAAGGGTGTGTCAAACTCAATGCCATTTGGAATACATATGAGAGTTGGTTCCAGTGTCTCCATTTCCATCTTTGCTGCACTGCCCTCTCTGTTTTACAAAAGATCATAGATTCTCGTCTCAAAGAGAGAAAATACAAAATAGACATTAATTCTCTTAAGATTAAATTTGTGCTTTTCTCATCCACAAGATTGTGGACAGGAATTGGCAAATAATATAGAAGAAAATGCTTTAAAAAATAAGAGAGACTTGGAATAGGGAAGGAGGGATCTATTCATATTTTGGAAGTCAAAGGAAATAAGTACAATCCTGTTACACCCAGAAGGCACCATTTACTATATGTTGTCTCCTCCACTGCAAAAGGACAAAGATTGTATTTTTAGTGCAGTAAACAGCAGATTCTACTGGGGGAATCCTTGAAGTTGGCACCAATCTCATTTAAAATGTTATAAAGCTTTAAAACATCAGGAGTTTAAGGCAGTCAGTCATATTCACCTTCCTATATACATTCAGCCACTCACATACACGCTCATGCTTGTCCACACAGTGATGGTACATGGTATATAATATTATAATACCTGCTGGAGTTTGACCATTGAATCACATTTCACAACCAAGACAGAGAGTGGTGAAAAATAAAACATAAAGCATTACAACCAGCAGCAAGAACATGTTTGTGCCTACACAGCATATTTACACCATGTGGCAACCACCTAAGAGTTCATCAAAAGAACACTATGATTCACACATGGAGTATTTGATGGACATTTTAGAGCTCCTGTTTGTAACAGACATTTTCAATGCCACACCCATACGTTTTTGGCAATCACCTTCGCACATCAAAGACTGCTACTATAAAAACCTACGAGGCCCTTCTGAGAAAGGATTTTCCTGGCCACAGGAAAGAGCACAACTGGCCTGTGTTCATGGACAGCCTAAGGGCTGGAGAGTGAATGACCCAGAAGCAGCCCTCAGTCAATGATGAGTAGGGATCTGAAGTATAAATACCTTAGCTTTTTCATGGCTTAGCTGGGATAATTTTGCGTCATGTCCCCATGGTCTCCTGGAGTTCCCTACCAGATCTGAACTCCAGCTGACCACAGTGGTAACCAGTTTGATAACATACCCTTTACTGGCTTCACTCCTTTCCCTGTCTTACCTCCCCACTTCTCTCCTTTCCTGAGTTCATGCCCCACATAAAATACCTGGATTCTAAGCCTTGTATCAGAGCCTGCTTCTGGGGCAACCCAAACAAAGACACTATCTTCAATCCTTATTCTTTTTTGAAATGTAATTTTCATTCAGTACTCTGGAACACATATCCCTTGTTACTGATTCCACAGAAATGTGATCCTCATCAAAAAGCACAAGTTTAGAAAAGCCTCACAATTATTCATGTACTTATTTTAAAGTATGAGGATGTTTTCTTGATAGCGTAGACACCTGTAACAGTGGGGGTGATTCTTAAAACAGAATTCTTACTGTTCCTTAAAAACCATTCTTACTACAGAAAGCTATTGGAGTAGATCTAGTGGTAAATGGGACAGTAGCTGCCTATCATTTTTTTTCCTTTTACTATTCTGCACATATTTTCTCAATATATACACTTCCCTGAATTTCATTCGTCTGTGCAAAAATATATTTGCTCATTATAATCAACAGATATAACCAACATATCAAAATGAATATTTACTCAGTATGTTCCATGTACTCAGCACTGACTTTTTAAAACTGTAAAATAAGCTGTAGTCCCCACAGCTTGTCGCTCTATTGCAAAGATAAGCCTTCAACCTATGAAAAAATTTAAGAGAAATACGAAAAAGTGTTGAAGCATGAAATTGTATGATAATTAAAAGACTTATGTAGAAACTCCTCTAAATGCCAAGTGCTATAAAGTAGCAATAGTTCAAATGGAAGAAAGGTGGAAACAAATAAAAAGATACCTAGAAACATCTTGGGTCCGGGATTCCATATCATAGATAAATCCTTAAACCAATGACCTGAAGGCCTCAATTTCTTCTGCGTGTTCTCAAATGGTTTGGGGCAAACGCCATTCATACTCTCTTTGGCTATCAATAATTCATTCACTTGATCAGAACATCAACTGATATTTGTTGAGCATCCCTCAACTATACAGCAATGAACAGGACAAAATTCTTGCCCTCATCAAGTTTGCATTTTCTAAAAGGGCAGATAATAAATTAACAAGTAAACAAGTACATTTATAATAGAATTCCAAGTAATGGAATTCTGACAAAAAGTAAAGCAGGCATAGCAAGGCTAGAGAATAATGGAGGAATAATTATTTTAGATAGGGTGGTAAGGGACGGCTTTTTTGAAAAGTTATTATTTGGACAGAAGAAGCCAGCTCTGAAAAGAAGTGAAAACAGGATATTTCAGGCAGAGGAAATAGCCAATGCAAAGGCCCTGAGGTAGAGATAAGCTTATCATGTTAATGGAAAAATAAGACCATGATGAGTAAGTAAAAAGAATGTCACAGAAGACAGAGTGAGAGAGGTAGACAGGAACCAGACACTATAAGGCTTGTAGTTTGGATTTCATTCTGAGGGAGTTGGAAAGCCATTGGAAAGTTGAAAAGATCACTCCGGCTATTGTGTGAAAAATACATTACAGAGCACAGGAGTGGAAGAAGAAATTTTGATCACAACCCCCCAGAGACAATTAGAAGATGGAGAAAAGGAAGGCAAACTGCATGCCATCTACTCTACCTTCATCTCTAGAGTGAGAGCCTTTAAGTCCTGAAGGAAGAGAAAGGTAGACTCAGAGGCCAGAGGAGCTAGTTCCATGCCAGACATTGTGAAATGCCGAGCACTAAGAGAGCTGCTTCAGGCCCAGGTGACGACTAGTGACGGGACTGTCCTTCTCACCTGCGCACAGAGCTGGGTGTTGGGAATCCATACCTTTGACACAGGCAGTCTCATGGAAGGCACAACAGTGATGTCGTGCCATCTCTTAATCACTCAACGTTCCTTGATACAGGCGAGTTGAGCAGCATGTTAGCACAGGCTCCAACTCTATAACTCAGTTCCTCTCCAGGATATTTTGTTCCCACTAGACAACACAAGCAAACCAGCTCCTTCACACACACGCCCTCTCTACTGCAGGCATCGCGTTCAGATATAACCAACCTGTGTTGAAGAAGGATCCAGTCCACTCGGCCTCGATTTTGGGAAATACAGAAACTGGTGGAGGTAGAGCCAGGGCTCTCCCATCCAGATCCTTAAAGAGATATTTTCTTGGACTTTCACAGTCTGATTCAGGGCAGACCAGTATTCCTAAATCTTTCCTGTGAAGATAGATAGGAAGTACCTCTCTCATTTTGTGATAAGCAGCAAAAAGAAAACATATGCTGTTGGTAGTGCTGACCTTACAAAAAATAAATTCAACAGGATTTAATTATTAATAATGTGTTATATGAACATGAAATAAAACTTTACAGAAAATGTTATTTCCCAGTTATATGGTCAAGAAGGAAGACATTCTTATTAACTAAATATTCTGGATATCTGGATATATAATCTTTACTTAGATTGCTCATTTTCTAAGAAGGAAGATACAATAAAATGCTCCTAACTCTAATATCTATTGAACATAATGTAATCATTTCTTTATGGAATTTTGAGGCCTTGAAGTACTTTAAGATTATCATCATAAATATCAATTATATTTGTCCTATATACAAACAAGGTAAAAATAGATATTCTCATTCAACAAAGATCTATTGAAAACCTACTCCTTACAGGTTGGGAAATACAACAGTGATAAACATAGACACGGTTCCTAGACTTTCAGAATTTGAGTCAGGCGGGGTATATAAACAAGTTATAGGCAATTATTACATTGAATTATAGAGAATTTATTTGATTTCCCCCAGTGTAATACTTTTAGGTACCATTAGTAATAACATCAAATATTTATTGCATTCCAACCACATGTCAGGTATTAATAGTACAAAGAATCAGATACTAATTTCGTTTAACTTCACAACTATTTCATCCCGTAGGTAAGACGTGAACATAAGGAAAATCAAACAGTAGAGGAAAAATGACCAAATAACACAAATTGCATACCTAATAATGTTTAGGCACCAAAAGTGGCTCAGGGATGGGCATCTAAAAGAGATTGGTGTTGGGTCAAACACATAAATTTTCTAATTAGGGTGATTTTTCTTGATTCTTTTTTTCCAAGTAAAGGAGTTTTCTCAATGGGAAAGAAAACGTAACTGATTATCCTTGCTCCTGACTTTCCCATTCCTTTTTATGGCAAAAAAAAAAAAATTCTCTATATAGTTTTCAGATCTTTGAATAAAACTCTAGTTCTTGAACTAGAGTAGTTTTTAGACATATGATCTGATCTGAGCGCCAATATCTGTCTAAGCCACATCATTCAGTTCAGGGATTCCTGACGGCTGACATAGTCTCCTTCTACCCACTGGTCTCTGCACAAGGGCTTCCAAGCTTCCTTCTGAAGACTAGTGACACCACACTCCATGGAAGATTCAAGAATTAGGGTCAATTTTTTTCCAGTGATTGAAAACATCCCAAAAAAGTATCTCTAATAAAGACAAAACAATAAAACAATATCAATAGAACTTGCACTCCATCACTTCCACCCCTTTTATTACCAAGAGAAAGTCATGTGGCTGAGCCCAGATTCAGAGAGAACTGACCTCTGCCTCTTTAGAGAGAGAGACTACAATGATCATATATCAAAGGGTCATTCAATCAATCTTTCCAGAAGGACTTATTTCTATTTCCATTGATGATTTCCTTCTTTTTTAAAACATATTTAAGGATTTGAAGAATTGACAAATATTTCATAAATATGGATTATTATAAATACTAAAGCTGGTACCTGGTTTGTAAAGCAGGAAAGTAGAACTTGTTTTTATCTTTGATCTTTAGCATCCTGGTCCTCTCTGCTGTTATTGGATGCATGATTCCTGTGTTCTCTGCATTGGGCAGAATGCAGACATCTAGGTCATCGCTATAGCAACTCTTCACAAAACCAGAAAACGTGACACCTGAAAATTTTTTTTAAGATTTCATAACATTAGATCATGTAAACTGTCAACCACAAATATAGACTACACAACTAAATATTCTTGTACTAATCTATGTCCAAGAATTAATTTAAGCTATCCAGGGTATTTCCAGGAGTTTACATAAAATTGACTTAAAATATCTGTAATTCTTCAAGACACTGCATGCAAAAGAGCAGAGTATTCCAACACATTAAAGTCTTAATAGCAATACTTTTCATCAAAGGTTTGATTAAAATCCAATGAGGAGTGAGTACAATAGTACAAAAGAGCTCTGATAGAAGATTAACTGCATCGGTTGTGATGTAACTTTGATTTTAAGCCTGGCTGTTCCGCCAACTACTAAACAAATTCAGTGAGGCAGAATTTCTGCATCTCAGTTTCCTCCTTTGTGTAATAGGAAAAATAACTCCTACCTGAAAGAATTGTCATATAATCAAATTAAATAATTGCCGTGAAAACTCTTCAACATGTATAAAGCAGTGACTTTTTAAAGGAATCATTCAGTGTTATTATAAACCACCATTGTGGTTATCAATACCAACAGGTGGTCAATTGGACAGTAAGCACTAGACTATGCCATACACTTTCGTTGATGTAATTTCAGAATACTATTAAAAATTCTATACACAGACGTATGAAACTACGTTGTTTCGATAAGCCCAAACATCCTACCTTGAAGTTTCATGATTCCTGAAACTGAATGGCCATTCCTCACTTTGTGCCATGGTTCCTGAGGCCAGCGATTTTGTTCTGAGGTGAATACAGGCCACAGAATACCAACTCGACCCCCTTTTGGGTTGGAGGGAGCTCGATCTGTTGATGTCGAGTTGGCAGAGGAAGGCTTAATTCTGTCCTGAATGCAGTCAAAAGAGGAGCTAGTGGCCACAATGACTGAATTCTTAAGCACAATCTGTACATTACTGATGGAACTCTGTGGAACAGAAGACACATATACTACCGCTAAAAGACCAACAGCATTGTCTACCAGAGTGATGTTCTCCATCTCCACACTGTTCTCCACATGTAGCATGGCACCATAGTCAAAGTTCTTGAAAGCCAAAAAGCCAGAGATACCAGTACAGTTGTCAAGTCCACTTTCCTTATAGAGATGAAGGCCATGAAGGCTTGAGTGGGCCACATTGGCAGACCAAAGAGCTTCAGGAGAGGAACACCTGTGGCCTCGGATGTGAAAGCCAAGTCTCTCTGATCCTGCCACAACGTTGCCACGGAGGTTGATGTCTTTTGCCTGGTTCACTTTGATTCCTGCCACCCAAACAGTGGACTGTGCTGACTGTGTCATCAGAACCACAAGGTTATTAGAGAGAGAATAGCCCTGACCCACCAAATCAATGCCATGACCAGCAGTGCCAAACACTATACTGTCATTTAAAATGACCCCATGACTGGCAACTGCATGAATGCCCCCACCGCAGCTTTGGTGCAGAGTGGAAGATACAATCCAGGATCCTGCTGACACATTAATGAGTTCAATGGATGAATAAAATGGCGACCCAAAGTTCTGAATTTCCACATTTGAAAGTTGAAGGACACCTGCAAACAAAATACATATTGTCAGGGATTTCCTTCTTCTCCACAAAAGGCAGAAGGATGGTCCATTTATGAGCATCAGGATATGCAGATTTTTCATTAAAATGTAATAGTTTATTCTCAGCACCAGCACAATATTTCAAGCCAGTGAATCTCACTAACAAAATATGACTCTTTACAAATATCACATCAATGCCTGAAAAGGTTTCATGTGCAGTCTGAAGAGTCTGGTGATAGGATGGGGAGAGAGGAAAGGAGAGATCGAGAAAAGAGATGGGCTTTAAGGATGAGCACAGCTAGCTTAAAGATTCCGTGCATTTTTCTGCAGGATTGTGTCAAGGAACTGGATAAGACTGAAGGGAATACGGAATCCTGGCCACTCACCTCAAAGTCATGTCTTTCTCTCTGTGTCTCAGTGACCCCATGTGAAAAGGTCATAGCCATCCCCACAAAGACATCGCATGAAGGAATATAATGGCTAACTCTATAAAATATTTCAAGCATTTCTTAAGCTATAATATAAGTGTAAAATTTACTTCCACTCAATTTATGGCCAGAAACATGATATTCAATAATTCTTGTTGATTAAGACATGATAGAGGCAACAACATATTTTTAAAATCATTTTAAAGACCCTATAAATCTATTCCGTATTTTTATCCTAGCCACACTAAATTCTCTGTTTCATTTTTGCAACAATATTTTCTACATCTTTTACACAGGGAGAGGATAGTGAATTATTTAGTCTTATAGGGAATTTTATTTGGACTGTTTTAAGTGGATATTGTTAACACAAAGTATAAAATACGTCCACTAGATTGATTTAAAAATATGATGGGGGGTCGGCCCGGTGGCGCAGCGGTTAAGTGTGCGCACTCCACTGCGGCGGCCCGGGGTTCGCAGGTTCGGATCCCGGGCGCGCACCGACACACCGCTTGTCAAGCCATGCTGTGGCAGCATCCCATATAAAGTAGAGGAGGATGGGCACGGATGTTAGCCCAGGGCCAGTCTTCCTCAACAAAAAAGGGGAGGATTGGCAGATGTTAGCTCAGGGCTAGTCCTTCTCACACACACACACAAAAATATGATGAGCACTAATATGTCAGTGTGTGTACTCTTGGTAAGACAGATAGTAACGTGATTATAGGAGAAAATGAGGTTATTTTATAACTATAACACCTAGCTCTCCTACAGCACTCATTATGTACCAGGCACTGTTCTGTTTTGTATATATATATATGTAAATTTCCTGCCATCAGACATAGCACACTACTGGGGAAGAGTCATAGAAATTCAGGAAAGAGATAAAATTTAAGTGGTCACTAAATTATCTATAATTTCAAAGCACAGGAAATTTCACTATTTATATATATATCACATCAACTCTTTTAATTTTCACAAAAATCCTATGAGGTAAGTACAATTGTTACCTCCTATTACAGATAAGAAAACTGAAGCAGAGAAGGGTTAAGTAATATACTAGGACTTGGAGCTAGGCATATAGATACAGAGACTATACTATTAGCCCTCACGCAGGCACACGGGAGAGAGAGGGACACACGGTGGAATAAAAGGAGCAGCTTCGCACTCGGCATCAGGTGACTGGACTATAGCCACGTGCCAATAATTAGTCACATGTCCTTAGCCAGGTAGGTCACAACTTTATCCCTCACTTCTTTCCTTTTTTCTTTCTTTCTTTTTTTATTTTTTGAAAAAAGTGCCGCCAAAGGTAAACTATAAAGGTAAACTATAAAGTTATTTCTGTCTTTAAAATTGGGGGGAGCTATAATGTTTTAGTAATAGTATTTAAAGCTCAAAGGTAGTCCAGCCTAAACTCTCCACCTTCCCCACTCCCTTTTCAAGATGAGAAAGTAGAACCCTTGCAAATCAGCAGCCGTGAAGACCCAAGCCCTTGTGAGAAGGACAGATGAAGTAAAAGACCATGTCTTTCTTTGTGGCCAGACAGACAGCAGGATTCCAATATGCCTAAATTTCTCAAATGACTCTGATTGAGAAGACACTGGCAGATAGTGTGGCAATTGTCATAGGATGATAAAACATCAAAAGCTCTTTGTCTGGTGATATCACTTTTGACATAATTTAAAGTGTCCCTCACCCATAGCGCATAACTGAAAAGGCCATCAAAACTGCCTCCCTAGAACTTTGGCACAGAGGACACTAAATGCTAGTGTGAGTCCACACATAAATAGCTTATTTTGCAGGATGGAAGGCGGTTCTAGAATCCCAGTCAAGGCACTGCATCAGTATTATTTTAATTAATATTTTTTTTATGTCATACTTGCACAGTTATAATTCATAGTTTTAAATTATACAAGATCTTTTTACTTGCGTGCATATTAAACAATGACTGAAAACTAATCAATAGTAAATACTTAAAATGTCTTGAGCCTTTAAATAGAGCATTAAGCCATGATTTTGTTCATAACTATTTTCCTATTTTTCCTTTTGAAAATCACAATTCTGAGTACAACTTGCTGGATTCACTGGTCAGAAGGAGAATGGCAGAGGTCTCTGATTTAAAAGTAGGAATTATAAGTCCTAGCCTCCTTTTCTGCCCTATGACCCTTCAACACCCATAGCTGGCACCCTTGACCTGTACCTGCAGATTCCAGGTCATCCATATTCCTACCTCTGGAGTATGTTACAGAAAAATGCAAGGGTTCTTAATACAGTGTGGGAAACTGGATTGGATTCTGGAACAGAAAAAGGACATTAGTGGAAAAACTGGTGGAATCTTATTAGTGTCTTGAGTTCAATTAATAGTTATGCACCAATGCTAATTTTTTGGTTTTGACAAATGTACCAGACTTATGTCAGACATTAACAGTTGGGGAAACCAGGTGAAAGATACACAGGAACTCTCCCTACTATCTTTGCAACTTTTCTATAAATCTAAAACGATTACAAAATGAAAAGTTTATTTAACAATGGCTTCAGAATCAGGCTTGAATTTGAATGTTACCTCTGCCACTTTCTAGCTGGATGACTTTTCTTACTCTTTGTTTATTTTATTCATTTACATTTATGGAGCACCTAATACACAGCAGTTACCACATAGGAAAACAGGGATGAGATCCAACCTTACCCTCAAGGAGTTCACATGCTCATTATAGAGTTTTACAAACAAGCAGGCAATTTTATTACAGACTCTGTTTCCTCATCTATAAAAATGTCTCTTTCATAGAGATATTAGGATTAAATGAGATAAAATAGGCATGAAAACCAGCATAGTTCCTGGTCCACAAGAAGCATACAATATAGGTTCCTTTCCTTTCCCCAGGGGATGATTTAAGAAAATTTAAGGATCAGCAACATCAGAGGTTCAAGACCAAGTCAGTCTTGCTGCTGGTTCTGCTCTGGTTTGGAGCCCAGTGGTAACAAATGGTAATGTCCCATTCCTCTGACCACGCTCCAGCTTGGCCTGCACCTCAGTTAAAAGGGGCCCTGTCTTGCTCTCCCTCCTGATTCTTCACCTTCATATACTGCAGGACAGTCTCATTTCTACAAGACCAGAACTCAGCCTTTGTCTCAGTCTCCTAGAGCAGGATTTCTCAACCTCAACACTATTGACATTTTGGACCAGATGACCCTTTCTTGTGGGAGGCTGTCCTGTGCATTGTAGGATGTTTAGCATCTACCCACTAGAGGCCAGAAGCTTCCCCAAGTTGTGACAAGCAGAAACGTCTCCAGGCATTGCCAAATGTCCTTAGGAGGGGAGGGAGGGACAAAATCACTTCTGTTGAGAACTGATGGAGTTAGAGCTTATGGAGAGAGAGCCTGTTCCATGGACCAGAAATCCTGAACCTTTTATTTAACGTCCAAACACTGGCCTTTACCATACTGGTGAAACAGATGTGCCAACAAAAAGTGTTCCATGCTCAACATATTTAGGAAGTGATTAGATCCTTTATTCCAGGCCTTCTCAGACCCTTTATCGTATTCATTTACACAATGACTTTCTAAGATGGAGCTACAGTGATAGCCTATCCCCAATTTTTTTGACTAGGAAGCAACTTGGAAATAATATTTAAGGAACACAAGTTTAAGAAATAAGGTACAAATCAGATAATTTTGCAGCATTCCAAAAGAGCTAAAGCTTGAAAGAAACGAGAGAGATTGAACTGATCCTTAAAGTAGTCTAGAATATGGAAATCATTTTTATTTAAATTTATACTATTAATTTATGGCACGAGCTGAGGCCTGCCATCAGATATAGCACACTACTGGGAAAGAGTAATAGAAATTCAGGAAAGAGATAAAATTCAAGTGGTCATTAAATCATCTATAATTTCAAAGCAGAGGAAATTGCACATCTGCTGAAGATGTTTTCTTTGAGGTAAAAATGTACATATGTGTTGATTGCTAGTATATTATTTTAAGATCACACTGATAATTAAGCACAGATTCGAACTGAAAATTCGTAGCTTCTCAGAGCACAAAGGAGCCATCTGATTTGAACATTTTGTTTTATAAGTGAAAATTCTCACAGTTGAAACTTCTGAGTGTCCCAGATGACTGGGCTCCAATTGGTAATGCTTAGTAACTTAAAATTTTATTTACCTGAAAATTCTTCTCTGCTGGATTTCCTGAAGTACCCCACAAGTAGTCTCCCCTTACATGATATATCAGGCTGGATTCGTATATTTCGGGTCAAAAGTCCAACCTCAGCAGCCAAAGGAATGTATCGGCCATCCTCCATGACATGGACACTTCCTGAGGCAACAGGAGTTGGGGAAGAAAAAACTTTAAAAATCTATTTTGGAAACCACCAGCTGGAGACCCAGCAAACCTGAGAAATGAAAACACTCCTCTCCCCTTGGAAGTCCTACCAACACTGAGGTCTGCTTTTCCTCGGGCATTCTCCGCAAATGTCAGCTGAGAAATGAAAAGCCCGTTCACTTGTCTCTCTTTGGGATCTTTGAGCAAGAATTCATTTCTCCTCAATAACTGTGGGTATTGGGACAGGCTACTGGTGCAGGGATGTCAGGGCAGACCTGTCCAATTAGTGGGGTCCCCAAGCTCCTTCCTTAAATTCATCGGCATGAGACCACCATTCGGTGGTACATTGTCCAGGACCTCGCTCACGAGAGGGAGGAATCCCAGATCAACTGAGGCAGTGACAGAACAAAACCTGCAATGTCTGAATAAAGGGATAAAGACCAGTAGCAGCGTCCTCTCCTGGTGGGTGTCAAGCTCACTGCTGCCTGAAGGAGCCACCTCAGCTGTGGGAACCGAAGCACCTCACTGGTTTGTTTCACTGCCCTCCCATTTGCATTTCACCTTGCATCTTATTGGCAAGGATTGCTGAACATTTCTCTTTTCTCAGCCATTTTTTAAAAAAGAAATCATCCTTGGAACTCTGACTTAGAAATAGCTCCAGATATAGTCCTGTTGAAAATACGTATTTCCCTCTCACGTGTCAGAAACAAAAAGATATTCCCTGATTCCTCTATTTCCATGTTTTATTACTTATTAGCTCTATTTCCCAGGTAAAAATCTATTTATTAGACTGAACCAGGAAACTTATGGTTATTTATTATTTATATGCAATATATTTTAACTGTGTATAGTGTATGAAAATACTCAATACTTTTTTGTGGGGGAAAGATACTTGGCTTTTTTTTTTTTTTGGTAGTAGTAGTAATCCATACAGGAAACGAACTTCATGTCAGAAAGGACACATTCCTAAGTATGGAAAAAGTCATTATTTACAATAACTACCACATTCTAAGTGATTGCACGATTCAATGTGCCAGGAAATGAACTGGAAACAGCTCCCACGAGGTTTATTCTGGCTTAGCCATGAAAATGTCCAGTGACCTTGAACAAGATTCTTAACCATTCTGCTTGCTTCCAGACTTGCCATTATAAATAAAAAGCAAAAAATCCCCATGCATCTAAGTATACTTTTAAAATTAGGCAATAAAATTAATGAAGGAATAGAGATAAAGCCTTCTAGGATGAGTCTAGGGCAGCAGTAAGGTATTAGCCATCCCCTCTTAATGGCGATTGGATCCAAGGTCCCCAGGCAGGTTGCTGAACACTTTCTTTCAGACTCATTCACTTTCCTTAACCAACAAACCAAAGTCTTACCAATGTGCCGGTGTTTGAGCCGTTCATGGAGACTAACATGGTGGCCCTTGACTTCTTTCACGGTGAGGACCTCTGTTTCGTGAGGCTCATAAGAAGAGGAGCTGAGGACAATTTTGTCATGGGGTTGCCAATCCACTTTGTCCTCTACTATAATTCTGTAACAGCATAAAGATGGCATCAAGTACACTGGCAACGTAACACAGATCACCCACTAACTCCAGAGAGAAGAGGAAATCCACTCAACCAACAATCCCATCAGGGAGGCTGAAGAAGAAATGCCAAGTCAAGACAGAGATAAAGGCTTTTGAGAAAAGTTTAATGTTAATGGAGTCAACCTTCTGGCTTATCTGTATACAATACAGGGATAGCAAAGATATTCTGTGGCCAAGGACAAAGAAGGACAAGACAAAGGAACAAAAAAGAGTCAAAGTTCCAGAGTTTAGTATACACCATCTACACATGGTTTCCTAAATGGAAATCTTCATGCTTGATTGGGAAACAGTTTGAATAATAAAGGTATTTCAGAAGGGATCTTTTCTCAACTTTTCTAAAGATCTATAATACCATTTTCAGACAATTTATCATCATGCTTTAAGGCTCATACTTTCATGGTCAGACAGACACAGTGCAAATCCTCGAGTTGTACTTACTAGCTGTATGACCTTGAGAAGTCACATAACTTCTCTGTTTTATATCTTCATCTGAAAAGTGACAATATTTATTAACATGCCACTGTTATTGTGGGGACTAAAGGCATACATTCCTTCAGTGCTCTATGTTCCAAGCATTGTGCTTTCATCATAATATGAAATAATGAGGGGTTTGTTCATTCTTTCTTTAACTCACATTGAAAATAATTTTTGTTCAGTCTTTCACTGCCGCCTAGCTTCTCCTCATGAATATATCTGCTTTATTCTCCATTCACAGTCATTACCAACATCAATGGCATAAGTTTATTTTAATTACCTGCCTCTTTTGCTAATGTCCAAATTTTAACAAGCTTTGACAATAGACTCTTCTCTCCCAGTAAATGTTGACAGAGCAACTGGCATGCACCAGACACTATAGTAGGTGCTAGAGACATAATGGTGAATAAAACACATGTCATTTGCATTAAAACAATGACAGCTTAGATTTTTGACTAGTAGACGTCCTTAAAGAGTCTACTGTGTGGGTGGGGAATTCACAGATGTTTACTATAGAATATTAACACCAAAAAAAAGAAACAAACAAATTAAAGGGCCAATGGTATGGATCTGTTATGAACCAAAGATTGCGATGAATTCAAATCTGTGCACCAGAGGTTAGAGAGAGAGAGAAAGAGAGAGATATTCAGAGAGAGAGAAAAAGACTATTGTCAATTGATGCAATTTTAATGAAAGAGTTGAGTCTTACCTTTGTTCTTGATTTGCTATGACATCCTAGAAAACTCACAGGTACAGAATATTAAAGCAACTACCCATTTCTGTTCCACTATAAATTTGACATAATAGATAATATTGCCTCGTAACTGAATTTGTACTTGTCTCTTCTGTGGCTATTCAACTTTTGATATTGTTAGTTAATATTTAATCAAAACATGACTACCTAGCTATGTAAACCCCATAGTGCCTACCAATGTTCTAGGCAAAGAAAAAAAAGAATTATTGAAATTAATAGTTCAAACTTTATATTAAAAACATAAATGAGGGCCTGGCCCTGTGGCCGAGTGGTTAGAGTTCCACGTGCTCCTCTTCAGCGGCCTGGGTTTGTGGGTTCAGATCCTGGGCACAGACCTACCCACCTCACCAGCCATGCTGTGGCAATATCCCACATACAAAATAAAGGAAGATTGGCACAGATGTTAGCTCAGGGCTGATCTTGCTCAAGCAAAAAAAAAAAAAAAAAAAAGAGGTGGATTGGCAGCAGATGTTAGCTCAGGGTGAGTCTTCCTCAGCAAAAAAAAACTTAAGCTGCCCTTTTCCATTAAGGCTTCCAAAACCTTACATGTTCATCACCACTTATTTCTCCTCTATACTCCTGAAGCCTTGGGATTCTATACCTCATAAGGACCGTACACAGATAGCAAGGGAACACGGCATCTTCCACTTCTATGTCCACATAGCAACAGTAGTAACTTCAGAAAAAATCATGGTCCCAGGATCAATAACCTAGATGGTTCTGCTAGTCAAGTATCAGTTTTCCTTAAATTCCAAAATCCACACTTCCCACTCACAGTCTTCCACCATTACAATTACCCTTCAACCATTTCAAGAAATCCTAACTTAAGGACTGCTTGAATCCCAGCTGTATTCCCTGTGTCTGATTAATACTAATAAGAGTCCTATGGCTACAGGGGTGAGGAGAGACCCTTGTTGTTCCGAGCAAAACACACCTAAAACAATAAATAAACAAAAAAATTAGAAGAGCTGCTTGCAACATAACTGGACCTAAATGGAAACCATATGAGAAGAGACAGGAAACTATGAATAATCACTGCAGAAGTCTCATGAAAGATAACTTTTAAAACAACATAAACAAAATATCAGCACAGTTTCCTTTGTTTTGGCATGAACATTTTATCTAGTTTAGAGAAAATATAATACTTTTGGTCAAAAGAATATAATTGCAAAGAACAAAAAAAATGCTTTCAAATTTGATTTAAAAAGTTTTTACAACCATGTATAAGACATTTATATATAAACACCTACGACTTAAATGCATTTGTTAACTAAACGTTGGGGAGGTCTTAATGATAATAACTGCATTTGACCACAGGTTCAGAGTGTCCAGATTCCAAAATGTTTTCCCCACAGGAATAAGATGGCCATAGATTTCTGAAGTCTACTAACATGGAAGCTATTTTTTGAAATTTCAGTTTAAATTTATTTTTTTGTTAGCGCCATTGAAATGTTCTGAGGACCCTCAGACTGCATTGGGCTATGCGAGGTATTGATGAAACTGAATCCTACAATGATGTTGGTAGTGATGACAACAAGAATAGCTGTCATAGAAGTCAATTATTTGTCTACCTTGCCTCCTTTCTCCTTTGTGCCAGGAAATCCACCACGTTTCTTCTGAGAACGGCTCTCCTCAGCCACCATACTAAGTAAGTGACCCCAGCAAGAGCTGTAGACCATAAGCCCACAAACCCTCTACCAAAGTGTGGGCAAGGGATCCAATCTGCCTTTGTTTGTCAAAATCCTTCCCCCAGACTTGATTGTTTTTCAGCTTTATTGTTTTGTCAGTGTTTTGTCAAATTGGTCAGCTTGAATCGACAAATAAAATTGTAAGATGTTTAAGGTGTACACTGTGATGATTTGATAGACATATACATTGGGAAAGGATTCCTCCCATCAAGTTAATTAACACATCCATCACCTCACATATTTGCTCTTTTTGTTTTTAGTGTTATCATCTGACATTATCGTCACCTGGACTTTTGAATTGAAACTAAGGGGAGAGAGTAATTTCCTCTCTGGTGGTAAAACTGGGAAAAGTCCAACAGCGCTGGGGTCGCTTGCACCCTACAAAGTGGGAAAACCCTCTTCAGTAGAAACAAATGAGGTTGAGATAGAGAAATAGGGGAGGTGGGGGAGGGCCTGGCACAATCTCTCTAATGGATTAAGAAAGGTTACTTTTACTTTCAACTAAAAAAATCCTGATTATCACAATAACTACTGTGTCTTGGGGCTTACTTTGTGCCAGAAACTGGCACTTTACATACATTAACTCACTGAATCCTTATAATTACTCTATTAGCTAGGCATTATTATTCTCACATTATATAAAAAGAAACTGGGGCTCGGAGGGGATAATTTACCCAAAACTATACATTCAGTTAATTGTACAATTAGAACTATTTTACTCCACCTGCCCTCAAATTTAAAGCTCTTTTTCATCATAGAATACTATTTCCATCTTGCCTTCCCAACTCATATGCCATTTTCCAGTATGGAGACAACAGCCAATCTGAGATTAGGACCTGCTAGTTCAGTGGACCAGAAGGAATCATCTTCTTTTAGAGGCTACATATGTGATCCAGATTCCTGCCAATAAATGAATAAGGCCACTGACTCTATATTCTAATACTTGAACTAAATTTTTATAGTATAATAATGAGGTTTGAGCAATAAGCAAAATAAATTATAGTCATTTTTGAAATTAAAGATTCTCCTTTATTAGACAATATGCCATTGAGCCAAGAGGCTCCATAAGCTCTGATTTCTAGAAAAGACATATTAATTCAACGTAGAAAGCATTTATTAGAAGTCTTCTCTATGTTCTGCTGTGTACTAGATGCTAAGTAATATACCAAATCAATGAAAAACGATATTTTCCCCCTCCTGTAGAAGCCACTTGGAAGAACAGGACACATACTTTAAGCAGCTTAGTACCAGTCACTAGGAAGCATATTGATATTAAAATTACAAATTAGAAAATAACATACCATATTGGTTCAGAGGGTGGGAAAGTCAGTATGTGCTAGAGGGGAGATTGAAAGCCTTGGGGGAGAAACAATGGAATGTTTAAGGATAAGTTTGTTATCAGTGCTACCGAGTGTATTCTGACTCCTAGCAACTCTGTGTACTGCAGGGTGGAACCCTGCCTGGTCTTTTCGCGCCAACCTCTCAACTTCCAGCACTATATCAGATAACGTTCTGCTGCTACTCATAATTTTTTGTAGTTTTTTGTTTTTGTTTTTTGGTGAGGAAGATTGGCCCCAAGCTAACATCTGTTGCTAATCTTCCTCTTTTTGCTTGAGGAAGATTGTCACTGAGCTAACATTTGTGCCAATCTTCCCCTGCTTTACATGTGGGATGCTGCCACAGCATGGCTTGATGAGTGGTGTGTAGGTCTGCACCCGGGATCTGAACCCACAAACCCTGGGCTGCTGAAGCGTAGCATGCAAACTTAACCACGACGCTACCAGGCCAGTCCCATTTCATAGGGTTTTTACGGCCAGTTTTTTTGGAAGTGGGTGGCCAGCTCCTTCTTCCTAGTCTGTCTCAGTCTGGAAGCTCTGCTGAAACCTGTCCACCATTGGTGACCCTGCTGGTATTTGAAATCCCAGTGGCATAGCTTTCTTACAGCATCACAACAACACACAGCCGCCACAGTACGACAACCTATAGACAGGTGGTGACCAGGAATGGACCCAGGCTGCTACAGGAGA